GAACTTCACCCTGAGCGTGACTTCATGTTCTACTCCAATCCTCATGACAGTTTTTGCAGAATTGACCACGTATTTATGCAGATGCAACAGCTTCCTTTAGTCAGGCAGATCTCTATCGATTCCTTGCCCTGGTCGGACCATGATCCTCTGGTCCTGCTCCTAGCACTTGCATGTATGGCACGGCGCCCTTTTCATTGGCGTATTGAGTCTTTATTGACCACTCAGGTCACCTGTTAGTAAATTGAATCTTTCATACGGACTTATTTTGTGGACAACTCAAGTCGCACCTGTCCGCGGCCCATAAACGTATGTGAGACACCCTGGCTGCAGAACTGGACATACTTGTTTCTTCGTTGGCTGAACAGGCCTTACGTTGGACCAAACATAAGTTGTATACCTGTGCTAATAAGCAGGGTCCGCTGCTGGCTAGGAAAAAAATTCTGTGGGGAAACCCTATAAGTTAGTCGAGTTGTGGCTCCCTGTGAGGGGTTGTACTTCAAATCCCCAGCAGATTGTCTCGCGCTTCGCGGACTTCCTTTCGCATGTGTACACCAAACCAGTTCCCTTTCCTGTAGCTCAGGCAGAAGCATTCTTTCAGGATTTACGACTCCCTGGATTGTCTGAAGTGGTGCAGGTAACCTTTAATACAGGTTTATCTGTATCGGAAGTACTTCAAGCTATCAAATCCTCATGGTCCTCCGCGGCCCCGGGTCTTGACGGCTTTTCAGGCCTCTATTACAAGAAATTTGCAACACTGTTGGTGCCCTTCTTGGCTAGTTACTTCAATGAATTACGACAGGGCTCTTTGACCTCTTCCGATGCACTCAGAGCTCATATCTCAATGACTCCTAAGACAACGGATGAGCAGGAACAGCAAGCCTTTTGGCCCATTTCACTTCTTAATGAGAATTTGAAGATACTGGGCAAGATTCTCAGTCTTCGGATCAACAAATATTTGCGTAGCCTGGTCCACAGGGACCAAGTGGGTTTCTTGCTGGGAGGCAGGCGGGTGACAATGTTTGTAAGGTGGTTCACCTCATACACCTTTTGCAACAGCAGAAAGTGTCAGGATTCTTACTGTCTTTGGACATTCATAAAGTTTTCGATTCTTTATCCTGGGAATACCTGCGGTTCATGTTGTCCTGCTGGGGCTTCGGGGATGCTCTCCTTTCTTGGATTCAGGCCTTGTATTCTTCCCCTTCAGCTTCGATTAAGTATGCAGGGTATTTCTCAGATCCCTTTCCTATTTGTCGAGGGACGAGACAGGGGTGTCCCCTGTCGCTGGCGCTCTTTGTCCTGGCGCTTGAGCCATTGGCCTTGGCACTCCAGGCTGATTGTAAAATATCGGGGGTTCCTTACATGGGACAGGAATTTAAGTTGAATCTTTTTGTGGAAGATGCCCTCTTGACTCTCACTAATCCTTTGATGACATTCCCAAACTTGCAGCAGGTTTTTGCGCCTTTCTCCTTGATTACGGGTCTCCATATAAATTTTGATAAGACTGTCGCTCTCAGTATCACTTTGGCCTCGAATCTGGTTTTGTGCCTACAGTCCCACTTTCCTTACAAGTGGGCTTCATCTTCGCTTGAATACTTGGGCATTCACCTGACCCCCACCTATGGCTCTTTGTTTGCTTCGCTCTGTTTCCTCACTTATGCGCTCTTGGTAATTCCTGCTCCTGTCTTGGATAGGACGAGTTAATTCGGTTAAAATGGACTATCCTGCCGAAACGGTTATATTATTTTTGCACCCTCCCAGTGTGGGTTCCTTATTTCCTCCGGCTGATTCAGGAGAGGATTATGCCATTTATCTGGGCTGACCGGTGCCCCAGAGTCTCCAGAAATACACTTTTTGTTCTTAGGCTGCAGGAAGGTCTGGGGGTGCCTAATGTAGCCAAGTATTATCAGGCAAGCCAGATTGCCCCACTGTCTATGCTGCACGCTTCCTCTGATGTTCCTCTCTGGGTTCTTTTAGAACTACCTAATTGTGCCCCAATTGCGACATCGACACTTCTATGGCTCCCCCCTGCCCTAAGCCCGACGACATTGAGTCCAATTTTGCTCCATGGCCTTCACGTATGGGACTCGGTTCGCTCCTCTAGCGACTTGATGTCACCCTTTCTACCTCTGCTCCCAATTACTAATAATCCTCTTTTCCCGCTGGGTTTAGATGAACCTGCGGCATTACCTTGGTGGGTGGCCAATGGTTTTTCGCAGGTGTGACACTTGAGTTCCCGGTCTTTCCCCACCTGGAATTCTCTTTGGGAATCACGGGATGTTCCCCAGGCAGAATTTTTTTAATTATCTTCAATTGCGGCATTGGCTGGCTTCGCTGCGTGGCACCTCCGCGTTTCCATATCAGAAATCTATCTTTGAAAAGCTTTGCCAACAGCATCCTGGCGCCCCCGGGTCTTGTTTCCCTATTCTATGCATCTTTGAATAGGCGTTCTTCGCGTACTTCCCTATCATATGTCGCTCAACAGGAGCGCGATTTGCGGGCAGTCGTGGATCCGGAGGACTGGAATAAGGCCTAGTCATTTATAGCCAAATGTTCATTCAACACATATACGCTGGAGGCGGCATACAAAATACTGTTCCGTTCGGGTTTGGTCTCATGTATTTGGCCTTCTCTAAACATCGTTTCATCTCTCCATATGCTGGTAAGCCCGGTATGCTTTGCTTCATTGTCCCATACAGGGCCTGTTGGCTCACCAGCAGAAGTTGGCCTCATATTTGTTCTTGTTGGCAACTAGAACAATTGCTCAAGCCTGGAACAGTACATCTGTCCCTCTTCAGGGGGTGCAGGACCGCATGTCCTCTCTGATACTTAATGAACAGATGTTGAGTATCTGTAATGACTCCCAACGCAATTTTTTGTAAAATCTGGGACCCGTGGTTGACATATGCTTTTCCCACGTTCCCCCCCGGCTAGCCTGGGTCTAGGTTGTTGATCGGCATTGGCGTTCCCAGATCCCTGCTGTTGGTCTTGTCTTCTTCCTTCTTTAATCTTCTTTTTGTTTTTGTCTGATTTTTGTGAGGCGGTAGAGATCTGCCTTTGGTTTACTTCACTGTTGGAGTTAAAACACTGTATTGTTTGTATTTTCTGTGCCATTGATAGCTCCTGAGTGGGCGTGCCTTCTGCTCTGCTGGTGTTGTAGCATTGTTCCTTTTATACCCTATGTGCTATTGACAGCCCCTGCGTGGGCGTGCCTTTTGATTAAGTCCATCTTTGTTTAAAAGTTTAAAATTAATAAAAACCATTGAAATACATACCAAAAAATATATATAAATGAAAATTAAAGAAACTGTGTAAAAAAATAGAATGTCCCACCATGCTTGCGCGCAATGCAAACACATGCGTGAGTCCCGCAAGCACACAGTGATCGCCTCACACGTGGGTTATCACCGCAAATGTCAGATCATGGGCAGTAATTCTAGCACCAGTCTCCATTGTAGATCTAAAGTGGTAACTTGTAAAGGCTTTTAAAGCGCTGCCTATGATTAGTAAAATTTACATTGTTTGTTGCTGTTGCATAGGTGTGTGCAATTTTAAAGCATGACATGTATGGTATCTATTTATTTGGTGTAATATCTTTTATATTTTACCCAGAAATTCGGCTATGTATTGTGTTTTTTAGCATTAATATTAAAAAAATTATTTTCTTTTAAATTGCGTTTGAAAAACCACTGCCCAGATACCGTTTGGCATAAAGAATTGCAACACCCACCAATGTATTCTCTAGGCCTCGGATTTAAAAAAAAAAAAAAAAAATAATAATCTTTGGGGCTTGTAAGAAATTTTCTAGCAACAAATAAAAAGCATTAAAAGTTTAAAGCTGTAGTAAACCGCATCCAAAAGAAAAAAAAAAAAAAAAAAAAAGAAAAATAGCACATTATGTAAAACTTAACTTAAAACGAAGCACTTCAGCGGCACACTGTCACCGCTGTAGGGGCTTCCATCTTCACCCAGTTTTCCTTCCGGGTTCGAGAGCTCCAACCATCTGACTGGCTGAACCGTGATGACATCACTCCCGTGCATGCACACGGGAGTCTCGGGACAGGGCACAGTGCTCTGAAGGAACGGCAAGGGTATGCCGTTCCTTCAGAACGCATGCACCGGTTGTAAAAATAAAATAAAAAAACAAATATCTCGCAAAAACAGTGCATGTTTAGAAGATATTCATTTTAACTACAAGTAAGCTTAATTATAAGCTTACTTGTAAGTAAAAATTAACAATGTGGCTTTACTACTACTTTAAGTCACCCTAAAGCCCTTTTTGTTTTTAAAAGCCCCAGATGTTCCTAAAAGAACCTCTGCCTAATAAAAAAACAGCAAAAAACAGCAACCCTTTTCCATTCTGGCAAATGTTTTATTTCTTTTATCCAGACAAGCAGATTGTCATGAGGGACCTGTATACTGAGACCCCAATTTAGTCCCTTGGAAAAGTAGTTTTTGGTTTTTTTTTTTTAATTTCCACACTACTGAGACATTCAGTTGTCAAGTCTGGGAAAAGTGCTGTTGGTATCTGCAGGGAAATTACACTGAAGCATTCCAGAAAAAACAAATTCCAGAAAAAATGTGTTGTTTAACCAAGGATGAGCACACAAGAACTGGTGTTATTCAGATGAAGGAGGGGTGAGGAAGAACGATGTGCTGGGAGACTGAGAGGACGGTGAGGGTGAACAATTAGAATATGCTACTCAACCACAGCTGGAGGCACAAGGACATTTCCTGGCTTACAATAATGCTGAAGTTGAAGAGGACTGATAGATGCGTTGGGACTGCTGTGTTGGTGTTGAGCCGAAAAATGAGGCACATGGACATTTCCAGTGCAAAATCGGGAGCAATGAAGAAGAGAAGAAAATAAGGAGAAAAAGTATTTTGTCCCTACCATTCAACAATCAAGCACAAATCTGCAAGTCCTAAGAGATGGAGTTTTTATTACAATTTTTGTATATAGTGGTACCAACACGATAAATATGGATAGAGTAAATACTCACATATGTCAGCTTACAGACGGCATTGGCTTTCACTGCAATATTATCCTGTTTAAGTTCTTGCTTGATTTCATCAATGCAGTGAGAGATGTATTTTGCCTGAAGAAAAGATAAAGAGTTAATGAAACTGTGGATATTTAAAGCACTAGGAAAAACACAGAGCTAATCTGATATTACAAGGACAGTAATAGTATATGAATTAAACAACACAACTTATAGATAGTTACACCTGGCTAAGAGCTTGTTCACATGTGTAGATTATGAAAAATTAAGAAATGCTCATTAACACTCCAATAGGATTCATGAAGGGTTTATGACATGTTTTCATTGTGTTTATGAAGCGTTAAAATAGATTCAAGAATGGCTAATAAATACCTATGAAAAAGTGTTGCTTTTCTAGTTGGACGTACTTAAAAGGGGAAATGGTTAGGTTGTAGTGTGATAGCAGATATTTTTGTGATTTCGCAGAAGATGGATTCGTATACTTTGATCTAGTGGTGCACCGAAATGAAAATTCAAAATGCACTTGGCCGAAAACCGAAAATTGCAGTTTTTAAAAATGAACGTATATTTTCTTGGAAAAAAATACACTTTGATTACAAAAACAAACAAAAAAACCCCACAATATATACCCCAATTTTTTAGTAAAACATGAAAGCGGATGTTACGGCGAGTAAACAGTTACCCAACATGTTACGCTTTAAAATTGCGCACTTTTGCAGAATAGTGTCAAACTGCGCACTGCACAGAACTGCATGTGAATTGCACAGGAACCGCACAATGTTCCTAGTGTTAATGGGCCCTCAAACTATTATTGAACTTCCAAGTTAAAAATAAAAAAGGGGGGGATGAGTAAGTAATCACCTAAGTATTTGCCTTTTCATCATATGCAGAGCTATGACACACAATCCATAGGTTTGTAACAACTAACATTTCACTAATGCATTTTTTCACATTACAGAAACCAGCATAGAAACACTGTTTGCGTGCAATGACAGAGCACAGCAACAGGATCTGCATATGTGTGATTGGGTATCATTTGTTCTCTTGACAATGGCAAGTAGTCATGAAATATTCAAGGACAACTCTTGTCCTTTTAACGGTCACAAACGGAGAAAGGACTAGCAAAATACAGTAGAAGCTCAGCGAATGCCTTACCAAGAAAACATTCAGTAACATTACATTTCCAGAAGTCACAAAACACAACCTTGTATAAAGGAAAAAACGCCAATGCTAATGAAATTCTTACACAACTTCCCACTGTAAGATAACTACACACATGGACAAACTTTACTTTTTACCTGCCTGCTAAACTCAATGCATGGGATCATTTATCCTGATTAGATGCAGATTGCAATAACAATTAAATGTTTTAATTAAGATTGGGGTGATTTTTTTTTTTTAAAGAGTTGAAGCTGTTGACTCAAAATTAATGTTCCTAAATAAGATGAAGCTGTGTAAAAAAAAAAAAAAACCAACACAGCATCCAGAGTAGACTCTACACATGCTGTGGCAAAAACGGAACCTTCTGCTGTGTTCAGCAGGCAGTGCCACCACTAAACATGACCCACTGAAGGGTCACATTCTTGCGTGCTAAACTGTGTAAGGAAGATGTACAGTGGGGATCGAAAGTTTGGGCACCCCAGCTAAAAATTTGTATTAATGTGCATAAAGAAGCCAAGGAAAGATGGAAAAATCTCCAAAAGGCATCAAATTACAGATTAGACATTCTTTTAATATGTCAACAAAAGTTAGATTTTATTTCCATCATTTACACTTTCAAAATAACAGAAAACAAAAAAATGGCGTCTGCAAAAGTTTGGGCACCCTGCAGAATTTATAGCATGCACTGCCCCCTTTGCCAAGCTGAGACCTGCCAGTGTCATGGATTGTTCTCAATCATCGTCTGGGTAGACCAGGTGATGTCAATCTCAAAGGTTTTAAATGCCCAGACTCATCTGACCTTGCCCCAACAATCAGCACCATGGGTTCTTCTAAGCAGTTGTCTAGAAAACTGAAACTGAAACTAGTTGACGCTCACAAAGCTGGAGAAGGCTATAAGAAGATAGCGAAGCGTTTTTAGATGTCAATATCCTCTGTTCGGAATGTAATTAAGAAATGGCAGTCATCAGGAACAGTGGAAGTTAAAGCAAGATCTGGAAGACCAAGAAAAATATCAGACAGAACAGCTCGCAGGATTGTGAGAAAAACAATTCAAAACCCACGTTTGACTGCACGATCCCTTCAGAAAGATCTGGCAGACACTGGAGTTGTGGTACACTATTCCACTATAAAGAGATACTTGTACAAATATGGTCTTCATGGAAGAGTCATCAGAAGAAAACCTCTTCTACGTCCTCACCACAAAAATCATCATTTGAACTTTGCAAATGAACATATAGACAAGCCTGATGCATTTTGGAAACAAGTTCTGTGGACCGATGAGGTTAAAATTGAACTTTTTGGCCGGAATGAGCAAAGGTACGTTTGGAGAAGAAGGGGCACAGAATTTAATGAAAAGAACCTCTGTCCAACTGTTAAGCATGGGGTTGGATCAATCATGCTTTGGGGTTGTGTTGCAGCCAGTGGCACAGGGAACATCTCACGAGTAGAAGAAAATGGATTCAATAAAATATCAGCAAATTTTGGATGGTAACTTGATGCCATCTGTGAAAAAGCTGAAGTTAAAGAGGGGATGGCTTCTACAAATGGATAATGATCCTAAACACACCTCGAAATCCATAGGGGATTACAACAAGAGGCGTAAACTGAGGGTTTTGCCATGGCCTTCACAATCTACTGACCTCAACATAATTGAACATCTATGGATAGACCTTAAAAGAGCAGTGCGTGACAGACAGCCCAGAAATCTCAAAGAACTGGAAGACTTTTGTAAGGAAGAATGGGCAAAGATACCTCAAACAAGAATTTGAAAGACTCTTGGCTGGCTACAAAAAGCGTTTACAAGCTGTGATACTTGCCAAAGGGGGCAGTACAAGATAATAACTCTGCAGGGTGCCCAAACTTTTGCAGACGCCATTTTTTTGTTTTCTGTTATTTTGAAAGTGTAAATGATGGAAATAAAATCTAACTTTTGTTGACATATTATAAGAATGTCTAATCTGTAATTTGATGCCTTTTGGAGATTTTTCCATCTTTCCTTGGCTTCTTTATGCACATTAAGATAAATTTTTAGCTGGGGTGCCCAAACTTTCGATCCCCACTGTATATACTTAGCTATTTTCAGCCCAGTTTGGGCCACTCACATTATCTCCCCTGTGCCAGCCAGCAGCAGCTACAGGGAGGAAAGAGACAGCACTGGACAACGGCTGGTACTGACTAGAAGCAGGGACATCACCCATAGGCTCCTATGGCCCAACAGTTGTTGGCGATCCCTCCTCTCCCCTGTAGCCACTTCTGGCTGACACAGAGCAGCCAGATCACGTAACCAAACTGGAGTGGCCTGAAAATAGCCAAGTATTTACATATTTCTTAAGCAGATTAGTCAGCATAGGTGTTGGTAGGGGGTGGAAGCATTTTTAAGATGATTTAGGTATAGCCTTGAATTCCACTTTAAATGTTAGGTTAGTTAAAGTGTTACTAAACCCACAACAGTAAAACCAGTCTGTATATGCAGTAAAGCATGCTTGTTATACTCACTGTGTAACCTAAGGGGTTAATCCTCTGCATTGTGTAAAAATGCTGTTTGATCCCGACTTCTCTGATCCCCCCCTTCTTCCAGTGTCCCCCTCTTATCTCCTGATAAGACATAGTGTGGAGACACTGCACATGCTCAATTTGATGTGTATTGCTTGTGATCAGCTCAGGGCCAATCGGCACTGTCCAGACAGAGGTCAGGGGTTCTGCATCCTCCTAAAGCAGAATGAGAACTCCTCCTATAAGCTCTGCTGGACACAAGACTGCTCTAACTGCTGATGAAAAAAGCTATTTAGCAGTTTATATTTACTAAAATAATAGCATTTTCATATTCTGTGTACTGTGGGAGACCAGATATAGTGACTGCAGGATCCTGGGTTTAGGAACACTTTAAAATACATGTTTTGATCTGCATTTCTGAAATGCATAGGTGTTAATAGCCCTTTAGTAAAGCAGTCCCAAGAACACTTACCCTTTCTGTAAAAAAGAAATTATCCTTTAACACCAACTTGCATTAAAGTGATAGTAAGCTGAGGCAAAACAAAACCCACTGACACGCAGGGCTTTTATAACAAAAGAGACCCTAGAGTTCTCTTCTGTCATAAATCTGCCCCTGCCTGTTAAATGGTAATGTGATCTGAGCCGGACATGTGCAACTCAGAACACATTTACAGCCAGCTCTGCATGCCGCAGCAATGCGACTCCTGTGAGCATGCGCAGGAGTGATATCACTGCTGCCCGGCCATTCAAGCAGCTGAAGATTCCAATCCTGGAAGGACTGACCAGGTGACGTTGAGGGCTCCGTTTGTAGGCAAGTCTGTTATAGTGTACTAGTATGCAACGCGTGCTGCTATATTATGACTTAAACTTGTAGGGGGACCATTTTGTTTACTATCAGGACTTTACTAATGCATTAAAAAGATACTCTAATTGCAAGCAAAAATTATATTCATTGCTATGTGGCTCATACACACCCATGGCTTTCAACACAACGTTTCTGTAGCACAAGTGCACTCTGTAGACATGTTGGAGTGCCATTAAAAATAAATGGCCCATTTACACTGTTTAGTTGCATTTATGTGCGCACTGCCACATCGCACAGTACATTTTCAAAGATACCGCAACATAAATGCTTAAAGAATAAGTAAACCCTCACCTTATAAAACAACCCATTCAGTTTAAAAAAGAAATGAAAGGCAAAACAATGTTGTATACATATAAAAAAATATTATATATACTTTTTTTTTTTTTAATAAGATGTCACATAATTTCTGTTCTCAGCTGCATAAAGTGCTCAGAGAGCTGGGGGAGGAGAAACAGCAACACACTGAACTTCCCAGTGAACGGCTGTGCAGGGGGGGGCAAGTCCAATCATTGGAGGAGAAAAGGCTCAGCTAAAGAACTCACCGCTGTGCTCTCCTGCTTAGCATGGTCAGTTTTTA